ATATTAATAATCTAAATTAATAATTATAATATATATGATAATTAACTATATGACAATATTTAAAATCTAATTAATTATATATAAATATATAAATAATTATTTATATATCTAATATAAAAATAATATTTGAGTATTACAGAAGTTAATCTTTTATATAAAGAGTGTAAAATAAAAATTAAAAAGATTCAAATTGGCATCAATATCTATATCATAGCCTCCAAGTTACATGCAAACAAAGATTTAAACTTAATAATTTAATAAAAAATAACATGCTATATACAGGATACATGTAATGATTTTACTTACCTTCATACAACTAACAATTGTAGAACCAAAAATTTGATATATTTAAAACCAATATGAAACGTCATTTTTTGACTAATATAAAAATAAATGTGCACACCTTTATTAGCTGTGATTGATATTAAATTTGAAGTAAATATTCGACCGGTGTAAATGCATTTTGTTTTTTGTTTAGATTCGTAGGAATGACTTCTCCCTTTATCGAGTTTAAGACATATTTTGATTCAACATCTGTTTTAGGATCTTCTAAAGAACTGTGATACTGAAAATGCAAAGTGTTCAAATAAATTTTATCGTTATCGTAGATGGATTTGATAAAGGCATAATAAAGTTCCTCAACAGTTGGTCTTTTTTCCAGAATAGGATTCCAACCTTTTTCAATAATAAATTCGCACCATCTGGAAACATTTTTGTATCATAGGTCGTACCTTTATAGATATCTACGAGATGTATATCAAGACATTTATCACCATTCCAAAACTATAAATATCAGCAGCATTAGAATGGATTTTTCTATATTTGTTTCTAAAAAATCAGCAATTTGAGGATTGTCATGCGTTAATATATTTCCAGGGTGAAAGTCACGATGTACAAACTTATCTTCGTGAATTTTTTTCAGACAAAAGATAATGTCATTTAAATATCTTAATTTTTAATTCCATCTTTTGGATAATCCATCACTATTGAACATGCATTTGAAACGAGGCCATTCCTAATCGAATACATGTACATGATAATAAGTGCACTTAAGAGCAATCAAAACCCATTTTTGAAAAATATGATTATATGAAAGAACTTTCATTTAGGAAATGTTCATTTTTTGCCTCGTTTAAAAACTCTAGTAATTTTTGAATCGTGTAATGTTTTCAATCGACATCCCATTCGTCAATTCGTCTATCTAACCAGGTTGCTTTATAAATTAATCAAACCTAGCTATTCTACATTAGTAAATCTTTCAAAAGGAATCCATTCGAATATATTTTGATTTCTATAATTAATTTTATTTCATTCTTTTATTAGATTGCCGATATCTTTATTTCCTCACGACAATTCATCGTTATAAAATTTGCTAGTGATATAAAAAATACCTATCGCAGGAAGAATTGTGTTGACGACTCCAACCTTTACTAAAATATGAATATTGTGAACTAAACAATATGTAATATTGGCAATTCCAACACTCATTACAATGACGAATATTTAATTCCATCTTTGAGTTCACTGAATAAAATACATGAATTGGTTGAAATGATAGAAAACAAATGGTTGTAGTTATATACACTCCCAGGTCAAAAGTATCCGACCACTTTAAAACCAGATAAACATCAACAATTAATTTCTTGACAATTTATAAACAAACATTATAAAAAGTTTATATTATTTTATTCAGCAAAACATGAATTTTATTAATATCTAGTTGGATTTCCATGGCTATCTAATACAGTTTGAACCTTTCTTGGCAAACTTTCAACTACATTTGTTAAAATTTCAGGCTCAATTTTATTTCACACCTCCTCCAAAACTTCTATTAATCCCACAATATTTTTTGGATGAGATTTATATTTTTTCATCTTTCTTTTCAAAATTTCCCACAGATATTCAATTGGATTAAGATCTGGACTCTGTGTAGATTATGAAAGACTTAATGCCAAATTATTCTTCTTCCATTGATTAACCATTCTTGTCCTATGTATTAGAGTATTATAATCTTGAAAAGATATATAATGAATTGTTTTCTAAATTATTATAAAAGAATTAAAAAGTAATTTCTAATATTTCTATATATATAGAATCTGTTATTCTCTAAAACTTGAATTAAAGAACTAATTTTATCTTTTACAAATATTTTTATATTATAACTCCTTGATTTTTAGATTTTATATTTAATTCACATCATATTTTTCATGTGTTCTATATCAAATCCAGTGATATGCATTATTTTAAAATAATATAAAGTGAAATTCATCATTTCAAATAATGAAATTCCACTTATCATTCCAATCTCTTATTTCATGACATCATTTTTTATGATTTTGTTCAGAAATAATAATTTTTCTCTTTCCAACTCATTTACAAATCTCTTAATATGTAAAGTATACTTTACTAAAAAAATACTGAAATTAATAAAGACTTGCTAAATCTTTTTATTATTCACTCTAGTAATTATTATTAAACTTTTGTAACTAATTTTACAAGACTTCTAAACTCTCTTTTTTTGAGTTTTGATAGCCTTTCTAAATGTAAATCATTTATAATATTTCTGAATTTTTATATAGTTAGATTTTACTATAATTACATCTTTTTATAGTCATCTTTTTTAAGTTATCACATCTTTCTTTAGTTATCTAATTTTGCTTTTCCAAATATGGTGATTATAAAGAGGTCTAATTGTATTTTGTTATAGTATTATGAATAGTAATTTAGAACATTCAAGAATTTCTTGATATTTCATTTATTACAATCTTTTTTTCAAAGATTTATAATCTCTTTTCATTCAAACTTAGTAAGTTCACACCTTTTGAGTATTATAAAGAAAAAATTCAGTATGCTACTATTATTGTTCATATTTTTATCACTAGTACTGTTCTCTTTTTCTTTTTTTGTTATCATTACCTAAAGTAATTAAAGCTTGCATGTTTAGCAATTTCGACTGTATTTAACTTCGGAATTTTTACTGAATTATAGTAACAATATTCATAGAAACTTCGCCTATAGTGGCTATAGCCAAATTTCTTGTTAATATATCACATAAAATTATTATCTACCACGATTCCTCCTTATTTATTCATTTATTTTTAGTGAATTTACATTTTCTTTGTGAATCGTTTAGTAGGTCGTGATAATGATATTTCCTAATATTTCGTCCATTCCTGAGGAAAATGCTGCCAGTTTATGTTTCTAGATCGCAACTCCCGAGTTTGTTGATACTTCTGTTAGTTTTTGTCGCTCGTGGCGATTATTGTTAAAGTCTCTGTTAAGTGTCCTTTTCCTTCCCTTGTAATAGTCGGTAACGTACAAAATCCCTAAGAACACATCCCGACAGTTCATAAACCCGACATACGAGATCCCGAATGAATAAAGATCAAAATTCTGAATGTACGAAATACTGAAAGTATAAAATCCAAATGATCGAATACTAAATATTATCATGATTTCGGAATTTCATCATTCGGGATGTCAAAATTTGGGATGCCGTTCTTTCAGGATTGAGTTCTTTCGGAATTTCGTACTAGACTCTTGAGAAATATGGGTAGACTTTGGTGTTATCGACCGGCCACTATTTCAGCCAAATTAGAGGCTAAAATCTGATATATTTCTAAATACATGTATTTTATGCGATAAATAAATTTCTATAATAGTTCTGCTATGTTCTTAAAACGAATTATTCCCATAAAAGCACTGTAAAGCAATGTGATAAATTTATTTAAAATAAATATTTAATTATGAAGCTTAGCTAGCAAAAAGAAAGCTTAATAATATGACATTAATGATTACTTCCTAAAAAATATTTGTAGAAAAAAATATATTTTTTAATTTGTGTTTGAAAATTTGATTGGGTATTTAAATTATCTGTACAAATATCCTATTTTTATAGAAAAATCTACTATATTATTGTGGAGGAAGGATTTGAACTAAATTTACTATAATAGAATTTAATTATAACGGACTTTTTTATGAATCGTATTCCTTCCAGGTAGGAACATAGTATTCCTTGCAATTTAATTTTCCGTTAACCGTTCCTTACCACAATATGAATTGTCGCATTATCTTGTTGAAAGATTGCGCAACTTCCAGTTTATTCCTTAATTGCATTCTGGAATGGAAATAATTAAGTTTTTAAGATTTCAAATATTTAGTTATGACCCTTTTAATTTTTTCGTGATAATCTCCAAATCATTACTGGTTTTTATCCACTTTTAAAGATAGGAGCCAAGCAATCAGTATTAAGCTTTTCTCCAGGACACATCAAAGTCTTGGCTATTGTGACTGCTTTCCAACTTCAATACTGGTTTCATCAGGGAAGTTTATTTCATTCAATCATAACTGATTTATTTTTATTTTCTTCGCACATTCGATACGAAAATATGCATGTGGTTTCTTTGCTGCGATACGCGAGTTAAGTCCGGAGTTGCGTAATATATTTGCGGTGGTTGATAAACTACAAGTGAGGTTTATTATTCACGTGGTGGTGCACGTCTTTTTTCGTTTTCTTCACGTATAAGTAAATCCTTTTCGTGGTTGTCAAGGGCTGGTGGTCTTTCTGAACGTGGTAAGTTTTCACTTTTTCTGTTCTTTTATAAGCGATGTGCCGTTGTGGGGTCGCGTCCAAGCATTTTGCGATTGAGCGTATTTTTGGTTTCCATGTACATGTATGCCAAAACCTTCCCTTTTTTCAATTTCGTTAAGCTGCTTAAAGGTGGACGTCATCTTTTAACCTAACGAAATTATTTTGTGACGAAATTGTAACAGGTAAACAAAGTGATGATTATTATCAAAAAAAGTAAAGCAGGGCAATACTTTTTGGGGTACTGTAGATGCAAATTGGTTTTTTAATAAAGTTGATTGATCATGTGACTGATCGACAATAAACTTGATAAAATACATGTATATTCAAAAATTCTATGAAGAAAACATGGCAAATGTTTGTTATATTGTATAAATAAAAGTCCGTATTGTATAATAAAAAGTCCGTATTATCAAATTTGTATAGGATATCCCAAAATAAACACAACAATCCAAAGCACAAATAAATTTCGTAAGGAGATTAGAATAGTTTTTTGTAAAGATTCCGCAGCAGAGAGGGAATAGAATTTGGAACCGCCGAAATCGACATCAATGTCACCACTTTTAGTAGAAATAGACAAGGATGCGTTTTGCGAAAGTGATGATGCTACAGTCCCAATGGCATCTTTAACATTCGTTATGTTAGGATTAAGGGTTTTGAGTTTCCCAGAAGTTGTAGAAATGTTATATTGTCCGGAAAATGTGTGGTTCTATTTAGCAGATTAACAGTTGATTTTAAAATCACATATTATTTATCTACAAAGTTATGCGTGTGTGTATACAATACGTACGAGATATAGCTCTACATTTCCATTATCTGTATTCACTTGAATCGCAGTATTATTTGCGGAGTTTATATCTAACGCCACGTCTCCTTTTGTTGTGACAACAGATAAATTGCGAAGAACAGAAACGACGTCTCCTTTTACATTTCCCCCGTTATTAGAAGAAAGCGATAATTTATCAATTGACGCATTCTATAAATAAAATAGATGTTAATTAACACGTTTTTTTTAAAGTTTTCTATAAGAGAACCAAATAAAATTCAACAATACCCAAAGTTTGATATCACCAGAAGAAGTGATTACATTCAACTTTGAGACTTTTAAAGGATCTGAGAATGTGAAAAAATTGACATCCAAAAAACCGAGGTCAAACAATAACTCGGTAATATTTTCAAGGTGAGGCAAGTGTATATCGATACGAGCTCGTCCGCATTTTGGTGAGGAATAAAAGGTTGGGTCCCAAAATGCCCAAGTGGTTTTTGACTCATGCTAAATTATTTGAATTAATAAAATATCAAATTAGTCAATGCGCAATTTTAACCGAGGCTTCGAATGAAATTCAATAAGAATCACCAACCAGATTTATTATTTTAGTTGCACCGTTGGTCATGTAATCATAAGAAATGTCACTTGATTTAGCGGAATTAAGACGTAAATCAATTTCTACATTTTTCGAATCAGAATTGTCGTAAAATTGTACTTCACTAGGCTGTTTATTTTAGTTTATTTTAGATAAATGATGCAATATAAAAACAAAGGTCGGAACATAGAAATTGAAGTACCAAAAAAATTCCATCGCTAGTAATATTCAGCCCATGATACACGGCTGGATCAAAATTTAATTTTATTGGGGTGATATTGTCGATGCCTATCGATCCACAGCTTCTTCCAATTGTATGGGTTCTAACATAACGAAACTATGAAAGAAAATGAGATAAGTTTAAAGTTTTTTTGATAAGTAAATGAATAAAATAAAATTACCCCATAGTAGACGTAAAATGCTATAATAAACGAGGGGAAGAGGCAAATTAAACAGAGAAAGCAAGAACACAAGACGCTCCACGGATTAATTTTATCGTTATTGCTACTTCTAATGCTATTTTGATTCATATTATAGAATAAATTCTAGAAAGCTCAATAAAAATCTTCTGGTTTCTTATAATTTTTTGTTCTTTCTCCAAAGTCAACTCGTAATTTATATCGATATATACTTCGTCCACATCGTCGATCTAGACAAAATTTGTTGTTTAGAAAAACGTTGCACACACATTACCGTTACCCGGAAGATTGCTTCTTATTCCCTCTAAATAGAATAAGAAAAATGAACCCATTAATGCTGGCACGTACATGTATTACGAATTCTTTGTCTAACAGTATACAAGCGAATCAATTTATAGTAAAATAAAATGAATTACGAAAATAGATGCATTGTCATTGTCTTGATATGCTGTATTGCTTCACTGTGCTGAAAATTTTATTTTTTCAGGCAATACAGGTTGTATTGTATAGAATTAACGAATGTTCACAAAACACAAATTTCCTTTTTTATCATGTCCGTATAGACCAATACAAGTTGTGGAATTTATAGAAGTTTTCATAATAATGTTCCTTCCAAAAAGAAAAGATAGAGGAACGTAATTAGGAAATTAGAATGAGAAACTTTATTCGTATAATGATTTGCAAATTATGGGTTCAAACAATGTAAATGTTTGGTTTGTATAAAAACATTAGCTCTGAAACAAAATTACGTTGTTTCTTTTCCTTAATTCACATAGCATTCATCTTAATAAATTAGTCACATGTACATGTATATGCATGTTGATGATCTTAGCTTGTACATCGGCATGTGAATATTTAAAGCTCAAAATGGGTTTTAAGAAAGTTCCGTCTCTTTCCCTGTAGAAGTATCGAAATTTCTAATAAATATTCTATTAATCTAGTCATTCATATCAGTATCCAAAGAAAACTACGCATTTAAATTACTTACTGGCTCTAATGGAGTGAATGCTTCACCTAGATTTGGTTAGTACGTGTAATATGTTGTTAAATCTTTATCTGAATTGAGACCTACAGTACATATAACAGTGTCTTCTGTCTGACCCAATTTTATTTTTTTTAGGAGAGAAAGTTCATAAGAAGCAAATTTTAGTAATGATCATAGCAACTCAAATTTCGTGCATATGGTACTTCTAAAAGTTTTATTAAATTTTATCTAAAGATCGATCAAGCTGTAGGTGAACTCTGAATTTCGTTGTTACTGATAAACGGCTTTAGCATTTGAGTTCATGTTGGTAAAATATTGAATGGAAGCATGGAAAAATAAATAAAGAACATCAAAAAATAATTTTTACTTTCCGTTTTGTTATTTATTCTCTTTCTAACGTTTTAATTTAAAAAATAAGGCACGCAATAAATTTAAATTTCTCTATCAAAAACCACTTAGCATGATTCGAGCAAGAAGTTTTATAGGAGAATATTTATAAAGGGACGCCTAAAGATTGGCTTTCTGAATACCGCTTGATGTCTTTTCGCATTGAATAAAACTTTATCCATAACAATCACAAATTGAATTTAGTCAAAATACATTGATATTGCGGTACCGAACAGTGTTAGCCAATTTCATGTTCATAATCCATTTATCCATATGACTTGTCATAAATCATACGGAATTTATAATAAAATCTGGATCATATAAGGATATATGACACAATTTTGCAGCCATATCATAGAGTAGATGATGAATAATTTTATTTCATACAGAATTCGTAACATATATATGATTGAAAAGAGTGACAGACGAGCGGACATACAGTGCCCGTCAAAAGTATTCCCCCCACCCTAGGTCAACGAGGAGATAAGATAAATGAAAAATTTTTTTTTATTTAAAAGCTCTGATTTCATACAACAAGGTTAGTTAGTACATGATATAATCACCCTCAGTCTCAATTAAAACTTCTACACGCTTTCTTACACTTGAGGCTAATCGGGCCGCATATTCTTTAGGCAAATGACGCCATTCTTTTTGCAATTCCCCCTTCAAACCCTTAACAGTTCTAATTTTTCATGAGCCCCCAGACATTTTCAATCAGGTTTTGATCAGGAGACATCAATAGCCATGGGAGAGCTTTTACATCCATTTTCTTCTTCCACATCTTTGTGATTTTTGAATGATGCTTGGGATCATTGTCTTCTTGAAGGATCCACTGATCATTTTCCTGACCAAAAAGTTCATCAGCAGAGGCAGAAGACCCATTTCATATGTGTTTAGCAGGTAATTGGCATTGAGATTCCTCACAAAGCAAACCAGCTTGCCAAAGCTTGTGGATGAAAAACACTCCCATACATGAATCTTCAGAGGATGCTTTATGGAATAGCTTATCTTTCTCCTTCCTGGAAACTGCCAAGCCCATTTTATATCTTGATTTAGATAAAAGATACTTTGATCCAAAAAAATCACCTTGTTCCAGTCAAAGTTCCTATGTTTTTTCACCTATTCCAGCCATTTTTGCCAATGTTTCTCTGTGAGAAGGGATTTCAAAAGCTTGCTCATGTATTTGCCTTTCTCTTTATGAAGACAAAATTGTACAGTGTGTATACTAATGTCAATGTTCTGCTTAATCATCTCCTTTCAAATTTCTGGGGCCATTATATTGATTTTTTTTTTGCAAGCTCCACTATCCGCTTGTCTTGTCATTGGGTGGTCACTCTTTGTCAGCCTGTCTTTGGTTTGTCACTCAAGTCTTGGTTTTCGTCCCACCTTTGGACCCAATAACAGACTGTTTTTTCATCACAGCGAACTGTTTTAGCTGTCTCATGTATTGACAGCTTGGGACCTTTTGGGTGGGTGCGCAAAAAGACGATTTCATATCATTGACTTAAATTTAAAGGCATTTTTTTAGGTCTTTTTTTGGGTATAATGGAGCTTTCGTTTTTATTAATGTATAACCCCCCAAATGTAAGTGTGATCTATATTTGGGCTAAACTACACGCATGCAAAATTATAGTGTCATGCATGTGATTGTTTGGAAATTACGGGGGGATACTTTTGACGGGCACTGTACATAAGGAAGACCCTAAAACTGAAGACAAAAATAACTATTTACAACGGCGAAGTATTAAATCGAATCGTATCTCAAATCATAGCAAACTGCAAAAACGAGAATACAAGTGATTTGTAGTTTTATAAATACAATCATAAATGGCGTGAATTTTGCAAAGAAATTTATATGGAGAATCACAATCTAGCACTAGAAATTATTCGTAAGAAGTAAGTAAAAACAATTTAATGCTATATAATAAATTCTCTATAACTACGTTGTGATAAAAAATTATCGTTAAGTAATGGAAAAATACAAAAATATGATTTTTTGAGCCACGATATTTAATAGTAGTTAACCTTTTTTTAAAACTATGGTTCAAGTAGTTTTAATTGGCTAATCGTTTCAATTTTCAAAATCTATTAGCAAACATAGAGCCAAAATTTCACTATGGCTTTATAGCAAGTTACCGGTGGAATTTGAAAATTGAAACGATTGGACCAGTAAAAATTTCCATATAATAATAAACACAAAAATTAAATCTCTATGAACAATATGAAACGCAATAAACAATAAAATAAAAAGGTGCACAGAGAAACATATCATTTAGAAATCTTATATAAAGTTAAGACTCATGGTGAATTAGAATTTTCATAATTAAAAGTAAGCGTATTCAATGACGTAATTACAGTAGAACAAGACTGTTATAAAATGTTAACCCAAATATGAATTTTTTTGGATATCTATTATTACATTTATACTAATATAATATAATAATAATAATATAATAATAATACTCGGAAGTTAATTATATTCATAGGGAGGTGAAAAGCCAAGCTTATAGACAATTAATTGTGCTTAGTTATTTAAATATACAAATAAAAATTATTTAATCAGAATAAATTTGAAAGATTCAACCATTTCGGAAGCTCGATCATGACCGTTTTCTTTAGCCTTTTGATACCACATTAATGCTAAGTTAAGATTTTCCGAAACACCTATCCCATATTGATAAAATTTTCCAAGATTAAATTGAGCCTTATTGTTTCCAGTCTCTGCAGCTCTTAAATACCAATCGAATGCTTTCTTATCATTTTTGTTTGTCCCTTCACCGTATTCATAACATTGTCCAAGTCGAAAATAGAAATGGAAATTGCCGTTTTCAGAAAATCTTAAAAGAATCTTAAATAAAGATTCTTCAATTTCTTTTGAAATTAGATTTCTTTCATAGCTATATCTCAATAAAAATTGGCTTCTTTCAACACCAGAATTAGCAGATCTTAAAATTAACTCGAATATTTTGTCATCAGATTTTTCTATTCTTGTATCATAACTTAAGGCAAGGTTATATTCTACCATAGGATTTCCTGATTCTACTGCTTTCGAGCACCATTCTAATGATTTTTTTTCATCTTTGATTGTTCCTATTCCATATAGGTAGCAAATAGCAAGATTATTTTGTGCGTCAAGGTTTCCTGACTCTGCAGCTTTCAAATACAATTCGAAGGCTTTTTGTTCATCTTTGATTGTTCCTATTCCAAATTGGTAGTGATAACCAAGATCAGCTTGTGCGTCAAGGTGTCCTGACTCTGCTGCTTTCAAGCACCACTCGAATGCTTTTTTTTCATCTCTGATTGTTCCTATTCCATTTTCGTAGCAATAACCAAGATTAAATTGTGCGTTAAGATCCCCTGACTCTGCTGCTTTCAAGTACCAATCGAATGCTTTTTTTTCATCTTTGATTACTCCTTTTCCATTTCGGTAAAAATTACCAAGATTATTTTGTGCGTTAAGGTGTCCTGACTCTGCTGCTTTTAAGTACCACTCAAATGCTTTTTGTTCATCTTTGATTGTTCCTATTCCATTTCGGTAGCAATAACCAAGACTATTTTGTGCGTTATGATATCCTGACTTTGCTGCTTTCAAGTACCATTCGAATGCTTTTTGTTCATCTTTGTTTGTTCCTATTCCATTTTGGCAGTAATAACCAAGATTAAATTGTGCGCTAAGGTGTCCTGACTCCGCTGCTTTCAAGTACCACTCGAATGATTTTTGTTCATCTTTGATTGTTCCTATTCCATTTTTGTAGCAATAGCCAAGATGAGTTTGTGCGTTAAGGTGTCCTGACTCTGCTGCTTTCAAGTACCACTCGAATGCCTTTTGCTCATCATTTTTGTCCAGTCCTCGTGACACATATAGTATACCAATTAAATATTGTGCTATAACATCTCCATGAATTGCCGATTGTTGATAATAGTGTAAGGCTTGATCATAATTTTGGTCAACAACAATACCCATATGATACATGAAACCCATAATTTTTCTATACGCAATGTTATTTTGCAAACTATGCAAAAATTCTATTTTATCAAAGTGTACTTCTGTTCTTTTTAAAATAATTTTATGAAACTCTTTGAATTTTTCTTCATTTTCTTCATCTTTTTCATTATATATGAAAATATTTTCAAAGAGTATCAATATATCATTGATGGATGCATCAATCTGTTGCTTATTCATAATTTGCTTTTTTATAATAAATTACTCTATTTTTAATGATGGGCAAATACGCGTATAGAACACTTTGTACAGTACATACTATCGCTATACACATGTATTTATATCGATATATGTATCGATAGGCATAGTTGTATGTAATGTAAATGATGGACTTTCCGATTTACATGTATTATGTGCAGTGCGTATCAGCAAATATGTACGGTGTGCTTAACGTTAACTCTCTTGATTTTTGATCGTTGATCAGTATATCAAAAATATCCACCATTTTTAGTTTGATGTGTTATCATGTGATTCCGATTTGTTCCGATAAAATTGAACAACCAATCACAATGTTTAAATGCAAACAAAGCGTGCAAGTTCCTTTGCATATAAGCTTGTTATATAGCCGTAACTTTGAATACTCAGGGTAACCTTTTCATTGTTGTGTCGGATTTGCTTCCGAAATTTTCGCACCCTAGAATAGATATCAAGTAGGAAACACGTAATCCGGGTGTTTATCATGAATTTTTTACCATAAACTTTAAAAGACATCTTTCGAGCATTTTGCGAAGTTTCAAATACATATGAATAATAATTTAGGTTTTTGAAAAAATTTTCGTGTAGATTGTAAATTATTGAGAAGTTCATCACGACGAATTTTGAATGATTACTAAAAAATTAAAGCCGATAGCTGAAAAATTGATTGAACTGGTCATTTCGTTTAGTAATGTCAAATCAAAACTCTGCCAAATTCCAATTCCATTGCTCATAATAAGAAATACAGTGTATAACAAAAAAAACTGGATATTTTATTTTTGGTTATATTTGATGAATTTTTTTTATTTAATTCATATAAAATTTTAAATATATATGCTTGATAACCTAGTAAAAAAGTTTACTTAAAAGTATTTAATAGCTTATCTTAATAAAACTATTCATAATAAATATATTTTATTAAAATTTTTTTTGAAAAAATTGATTATAAAAAATTTAAATGCTTTTTTTAATCTTTTTTGTTTGTTATTCAATGAATATTTATTTAAATTATACAAAATTTTAAATATATATACTTGATAATCTAGTAAACAAGTCTACTTAAGATTAATTTGCAAAATAATAAATCAAATTTATTATAATAATTTATTTAAGTTTTCTCATTATTAAAATTTTTAAAAATATAAATTATAAAAATTTTTAATAAGTGTTCAAGTAGTCTTAAGTAAAGTTATTTATCATACTCTCAAGTATATTTTTATGTTATTTAAATAAATTTTTGTTACATACACACTATAATGAATGTAATGGGTTTCATTACTGCTACCAGTTCATTAAATTTGCTATTATTTTTGAAAGTTATTACCTAACATTTCAGATACCAGGTACACTAACTCAAAAATATAATCGGTACTGTTCACGATTTACTTTTATGAAAAGAACGCTAATAAGTTCTCTCTTTAAGAAAAAGGTTGTAAATAAAAGTTATTGTGTATAATAATTTATTAACAACTTTAAGATGGAGTATACATATTAGCATTACAATTGTCTGTTAATATATTCAGAAATATCAAATAAATTACATTTTATAGCCACACATTTTAAATAATCTCGTTTGACGTGACGAAATTTTCATATATGTACATGAAACAAAAATCTTGTTAGTGTTGATATGTTCATTTTTTTAATTATTTATTATTATTATTATTATTATTATTATTATTATTATTATTATTATTATTATTATTGATTAATGTAATTGATGAACTTTTTATGATTAGTTTTGGCCCAAATTTTTGTTTTATAACTGCAAGTAATCTAAAAATACATTCCACAGTGGCTGGAGCTCTAAAACTCTAAATTAATGTTCCCGTTATATGTGGTGATAGTTAAATTCGCATTTAAATTACCGGAAATGATTCCAGACACTTGTGTTTGTGAGTTGTCAGAATTAGTGATGTTTTGAGTGTTTATTGGCTGAATGGTTCCTTTGTTCGTTGTTACAGAATAATTTCCGGAAAAGGTGGAATTCTAATGTTTATCGGATATAAATACATGTACATGTAATTGGTAAATCAAAAAAAAAACCAAAAAAGTTTATAACTCACAAATTTTAAATCCACAGCTCCGTCTATCGTCTCCACATCAATTGTTGGTTGTTGTTGAACTTTCAAATAACTTGCAAAAGAGTCCAAATTTGATACCAAGTTAGCGGATAACTGTATATCACTTTCAACCGTGGATGCTTTTAGTTGCGAGTATATTCCACCGATACTACCGGAAATTTTACCGAGTCGAGATGTTAATATTATTGAATTGGCTGTGAAATTCTAAATTCAAATATTGTAAATTAATGTATGATATGAATATTGAATTTGTTCAGAAAACAAAGCGATAATTTGATACCTCGACTATTATATTCGATTCAATCGTAGTGATGTTAAAAATCTTATCATAAAATGGAACTGCATTCTGCTGTAACGTTACATCAATATTATTTGACGTTATAGTTGTTGTTGCGGTTTTGTTACTAGAGGATTGTGGAACAATAATTTGTACTCTTGCTTTTGAACATTTTGGAGGGAGTGTCCAATAACCGAAAAATTCGAACGGTGAGTTGTATCCGCTTTGTGACTTTTGTATATGTAAAGAATGTTATTTTGTGGCAGAAAAATTGCACCAAAAGGAACAGAATTATCAATCGTCACTTACCAAATTGATGGAATATTGTGAATCAGAAAAACTTGTTTGCACAGTTGCGCCTTGTTCGCTAATACTGGCCACTTGAATTCGAACAGTTGCATTTTTCGAGGTTTTTGAATCATCTTGAGCTACCCATACTTGTCCTTCCTATTTTCATATTTGAAACTCAATTATGTGCTCAAAAAAAAGCCGAGAGTTATAACGTTGGACTCTCACCAGATAACCTCCCGACTTGTCAATTATCACTTCATTGAAAATATTTGGATCGTATGTCATTATAGATGGAGAAAAATTGTCGACGTTTAAATTTTTGCATTGTTTCATGTTCGAGTATGTTATGCTCTGTAAGGAAAACTAATTTAGAGACATCTCGAGATCCACAATGGTAGCAAAAAATATCTTAATAATTACCCCTAGTATAATTGATAGAATGAGTATTGCCGTCCAAAGTAAACTACATGGTATCCAAATACATGGAGGACATGATATACAGAAGCAACGAAAGTTACGTCTTTCAATTGGTCTAACTTTACGAATACAATTAATTAAGAAGAATAACATTAATATATAGAAGGTAGCGCATTTTTACTAGATACTCAATTCAAAATCAAAAAAAATTTCCATTTACTTCTTCGTCGCGGCGATGAAAATTCTTCATCGGGATCCTTTCGACCTGTTTGTGGTAAATCATCAACTGTTGAAAGACTTGGTGGTCGATGTCGTTTTTCTTGTTCCTTTAGTTCTTGCTCATATTTTAATCTTTGTATCTCCTGTTGTAATAAGAGCTGTTGATTAAGTTGTTGCTCGCGTGCGATTTGTTCTTGTAATTGTTGTTGGGTAATTTGTGGATAAAAATCATTATGTTGCGATTCTCTGTTCGTATTGTAAATACCATTGTAAATATTATTGTGATTACTATTATAATTATTATTGAGATAAAAAGACATTGTTGTCGTTTTATTTTTTTTTATTTGGCTGAATAATCTCTATTTTATATTTTTACGCTTGCTTTTTATCTCAACGGACTATAATGATAATTTTACTTCCAATCTAAATCATTGACTCAACACTATCGTAAATGTATTAGCCAAGAATCTAAAGTTTGATGTTGAAAAATTTTATAGCCCTTGTACACGTACAGGATTTTTCGCCTGTACATGTACTCTATGTTAGAGCATAGGTTTGACAAAAAATATAGAAAATTCCTTTCATTTATTTATTTACATCTGATATTGTATTATGCATTCATTACAACGTACAATGACTTAATTTAGGGTATGAAACTACTATTAACGGTTAGCGAGATAGATACTAAAAATAGCAATGAATTGATCATTTGTTTTCTGTTGTGGACTTCTAATTTTGATTTTTGTATGGTATTGTCTTCTGAACTATGTTAGATTTTTATAGCGATAGATACATGTATAAATTTGCATGCCTTCAAAGAAATATGTAACAGTAACGGGATAATAATAGACAGAATTTGTCATTGAATCCGAACACAAATTACTTCCAATTAATGGGAAAAATGTTCAGCCTCGCCATGTTTTGCAATATCCGAAATGTTTGTATTACCGTTACTGGATTTAAGTATTTTTGCAGTAACCTAAATAATTTTCATAATCAATACTGACATGTACGTGTACGTGTATTGTCTAAATTTGCTTTATTTCATGTTTATTTAACGTTAAATTATTCGTTTCAATTTCAATGATATTATCGTTATTATTGCAGTAATGAAAATTGAATAATACAACATGCGAACAAATGAATTAAAATTACACTATCCATAAAGTTACATGTACATGTATCACTTAAATTAGAACTATTAACGTTAACGTTAACATCAAAATCCCACCACCACTAGACCAATTTCGGGTAAAAAGGAATTTTGATCGTTCACAAAGTCTGATGATCAATTATGGATATTTCTCTGAGGTCAGGAAATTTTTCAAGAAGATATTACATGTACATTTGATATTTTATTTGTTGATATATATCAAAATATAAATTTGATACATATCTTATTTATTTATCGATATATTATTGTCAATATCTGTCAAAATATTTGAAATATATCAATATACTTACATGTATATAAATATCTATCTATTGTAAGATATATTCTAATATATATTTTAAAATCGTTTTTTAATATATTGATATTTGATGTTGAGGAAATCAGGCATTTTTAAGCAGATATGTATCAATATAAGATATTTATTAAATTTCTTTATTGTTTTAATGTAAAGAATTCCATTCCTCTTATTAAAGTAGTTACGTGGATCGAAGATAAAGTACTAAGTTTCTCGGTTTTCTGGAATAGGATCCCAACATTTTTCAATAATGACTCCGTTCACCAAATGGTGTTCAAAAAATTCAAGTATCATATTAATTATAATTATTATTATATGCAATCTGATGTAAAATTTTTAAACAAATATTTTTTCTCTAGTTTCATAATAATTACATCAAGAAATATATTAAATATTTATTTAAAAGTCAAAAAGCAGAAGATTTTTTTAAAAGAAATTTAATAAAAATTATATTTTATTATTTTGAATATTATAAAGTTCTAAAATAAGTAATCTTTAAAATAAGCTATTACCTCAATTTTAATTTAAAACTTTTGAAAAAATTTAAATAAGCAATCTTTTTTTATTAATTAAATTTATTGTATATTTTTATTTTTAATTCTTTAGCTAATATATTATTTTTTTAAATAATTTATTTTTTTATAACTAAATAGAATAAATATAGTATTTTTAAATAATAAATTCAAAATATATAAATTATTAATATATAATTACTTATTTAATAATACTTCTAGAAGATGTTAATTATATAAATATAATAATAAAAGATTTATAAATAAAAATAATAATATACTAGTTGAAATATTAAATATATAATATTTGCAAAAAAAATAATTATATAATATAATTTTTCATATAAAGCAATATATAATATAAAAATTATAATTTAATAAGCTATAAATTATAGAATTATTATAATTAATTTTGAAATTCTTTTTAATTCTCCAAAAAATATTTAAATTAAATATTTAAAAAACTCAAAATAAATATTTAATCAAATTTATAATATAAAAAATTATTTATTTTCAGAATTTTATAATAATTAATTTATATTTTTCTTTTTTAAAGTTTGGTTATATCTTGTAAAATTTTTGATTATTTTTTAATTTATAAAATTTTTTAAATATTAATATTTTTAATTATTATATTTTTATAAATTTATAATAAAACTAAATAATTAAATTATAATATTTTTTATAATATAAAATTAATTTATAATGACCAGAATATTTTTATAAGAGTTCTTAATTATATAGCTTATATATTTAAAATATTATTTTTTATAATATAAAATCAAATTTATAATAATTAAAATATTTTTTATAAGAGTTTTTTAATTATATAGCTTATATATTTAGAATTATTATTTTATTAAAAATATTAATTATTTAATATATTTCTATTAAAAGATATTTTCTTATAATTTTTATATAAAATAAATTGTTATAATTTATAAAAAGATTAATTTTGTTTAAATATAAAATTTATTTATATATTAATTTTTATTTAATTCTTAAATATAATAAATTAATTATTAATTTATATATTATAAATTGGTACAAAAAGATTTATATCTTGATAAATACTAATAAATTCTTTTTCAAAATAAAATTTTGATTCTATCTTATTTAATTAAGTTATTAGATATTGAAATTTATTTAAATATAAAAATTTTTATTATATAGTTTTTATAAAAAGTTTTTACTAATAATAACTTTTTTTAATTATTATTACTTAAATTTTATCATATAAAATTTGATTAAAATTAATATAAATATTATATAGTAAATAATTTAATTACTTAACTTTGAATCTTAATATTTTTATAACTACTGATTCAATTTTTATGAAATTTAGAATATATATTTATCAAATCTAGGGCAACCTGCTTGTATAATTTGAAGTTCTAATATTACAAATTGATAGTAATAATATTTAAAATGTCTTTTTTTTAAAAAATAATTTTATTTTAATTTTTTTTAGTAAAGTAATACCTTATTTATTATTAAATTAAAGTATATTGAGATACAAATCTTTTTGCATCAACCCATATATATGTATATAAAAAAATAATTTAATACAAAAATTTAAAATTTAATTTTCAACAACTGGTTTATTAAATTATATTAAATTATTGTTTTTCAACAACTGGTTTATTAAATTATATTAAATTATTGTTATTACATGTAATATAAATATATAAATATATAAATTTTAATACAGTAATTTTAATTATTTTAAAAGTTTAAACCAAAAAATTTTTAGTATAAATAGTTATAAGGGGTCAGCTACTTTTGACTGCTACTGTATTACTTTATTATTATATATATCAATTTATTTCAAGAAACTTTTTAAAAATTTACTAAAATATTAATTTTTAGATTTTTAAACTTTAAAAAATAATTAATATGACTTCTATTTTAAATTATATTAAAAATCAACCCGGAAGTTTTTATAATAAATAACAAAGGCTTGCGAAAATTGACCCGGCCGGTTTATGAGAAACAATAAATTTACTTTGCTTGGTCCAATGTGGGTTGTTTTGTAAAATAAAATACCATGATGCGCGACTCGGAGTGTTAACTGAAAAAAGTATCGTTATAAAGAGAGGCTACTAATCACGGTTTTAATCTGCATCTGCAAGTAGCTTATCGTTGCACGTTTAACCTAAAGTAACATAACTACATGCGTATCTTCAAAACTGGAACACTCACACTAATAACGATAAAGTAAAAAAAAATTAAAATAAAATGACGAACGACTTATTATTGACTTCACATTCAAACAAATTGGCTAAATTTTACGAAAAGGGCAATTTTTGTGATATTTCGATCATTGTTGG